TCATACAGTTAGTTGTTATGACAACGGGACCAGGGAATGTTGGGAATTCAAACTGCTGAAGTTGCCACGCCCCTCCAAAATGTCCAGCAAGGTGCTGAAATGGTACAAAAGATATTCCTGATTCAGAAAAGCTAGATGTAAGAACCCTCACCAGGTCGGATACGCGAAATAAGCAACTATAATAATTTAAGCAAATGCTCAAACAGTTTGACAGTGAAGTTTCAATAAATGGAAAATGTTCAATGGTGCCTCTGGTGGAAGATGGAGCCGGTCGGTCTCATGTGAGCCTTGCACGCCAATTACCTTAAATTTTCTCAACCATGGGTAGGAGTGCGCTGGCAGCATCTCCCCGTGGGTGTAAACGTTGATCCCGGTACCCTCTGTCGCCTCCAAGATCTTCAACAAGTCGTGCATGTCGTGGCCGGACACCAGAATTGCCTAGAATTTCACTTCTCATGTTTATATTTTCATGCAAAACGTACGCGTTAATCTTAAAGGAAAAAATATAATTTCTTTTAATGGATGTTGCTTTTAACGCACCCCATTTTTATGGAGATAACAATTTTGCATTACTTAAACAATATTTTTATTTTCTTAAGTTTTTTACTATTTTTTATGCGTCTTATTCCTCGGCTGTATCTTTCTTCAATGGTGTTATGTAATTTCTTCAATATTTCCAGGATTGGACATTCATTGTCCACAATCTCTGTAGCAAATACCCAGAGCCTCACCTTGCCGGGTTTTGGTTTTGTCGACACCTGTGCTGGCGACGGTGCCCCAAACTGTTCACGATGACCTATGTCTAACCTTTCCATGACCTTGACATTGGCCTCTCCGACCTTCAACGCCCAGCCGAGCATGGCTGCCAGATCGTTTCTTTCCTCCACTGGGCCGTTCTCAAGGAAATCAAACACCTGAAAATAGGAGTTCTACAGCGGTCATATTTTTGTAAGATTAAAAGTAACGCACTAAGCATTTTGACAAGTGGCAAAAACACACTTTTCGTACATACAAGTACATGGTAGAATAATATAAAGGCCCCTATATATTGCCTCGATTCAGTGCAAACCAAAAAGTCATTAATGACTTAAAGATAATAATCATCACTGAAAATGGAATGGAGCGTGAACGTAGATCACAATTTAATACTTGTATTCATAGTTAAACTCAACCAACAGATGTGACTTAATACAGCTATTGAATATCTCCCTGAATATGATAAGTGCAGATCCATTTGGTTATAACATTTTTGAAATCCCTGAGCTTAATAGCTGAGATTGCTATTCTATCATTTTCTTTAATATCATTGAAATCCGCTGACCTCCATAACGAACGCTCCGATATCCTTCATGTCTTGCCCCAGCACGTGGGCGTGTCTGGCGTACGTGGACATCCCCTTTAACCCAAACACGATCATCTGTCGGACACCCGCAATGTCAGCTCCGTATATAGGGACGTCGTTGGTGAGCGTGAACTTTTTACCTACAAATAAAAACAACCAGAATTGATAAAAAAAAATCTACGAGAAAACTAAACGAAATTAACAAGCATATGCTGAGCATCCGCAATGCCGAACTACGGGCATATCATCTTCTCATCCATGGGAGTCCTTGTTGAAATGGCGGCATAGCTATGTTGATACAATGAAAACCGCTGCTGCAAAATCGCATTAAGTGAGAGCGACGTACAGAAATGGTAGGAAAGCGATCTCCACGCGGTGTGCTCACTGGGGAACTTCCTTGCCTTTATGCGGGGTGGATAATTTCAAATACAAAAGTCAAAAACCATCTTTAACTAAGAGAAAAATGCAATTTGCAAGATAGGAGAAACGCGCACCTTCTTCGTCAAGCGTATCCTCGTCTGTGCTGCCATCTGGCGGGAACCAGGCGGCGGGACCGCTGCTGAACTCTTCCGGTGACACACCCTTCTTTTGACAGGCTTCCACGTACTGTTGTTTTAGCTCCTCCCTCACCCCCACTGCCTCCAGGATGTAGGAACGGAACCGCATGGGGTCAAAGTTCACGTTGGTTAAGGTGCTATGGAAGAATGGAAATCACGAGTGAATGAATAAAACTATGATAACTGATATTCAATGGCAATTTAGAAAAAAAACAATAATTCATTTCGCGATTGCAACAATTTTCGAATTTATTGTAAAAATACTGTTCTCAAAATCAGTATTTTTTACAACGTGAAATGAACAGAAATATGCGTATACGTCTACATGCGATCTTATAAGTTTCCAATATCGCATTCGATAAATATTCAAGTTAATTACCTGAACAACGTCCCAAACACGAAGTCGTATACCCTTTCATCGATGACCACGCCCATTTGGGCGGCTCTGTGCCCATATATAGAAACCCCCCTCATCACGTGGATGAGTAGATCCTGCATGTGCGCCACCTTGGGGACTTTTCCACACACACCTATGGCGGTACAGGCGGTTCTGTTCTTTGTTTGCTCACATTGGTTACAATACATAGCTGAAGGAATCAGATATCTAAAATTTTATTGAACTTTCGGAACTTTTTTTCAATAGGCAATACTTAAAATTGTCATCTTAAAGCTGAAATCCAGGGTATTTTTCTCGAAATGAGACAAAATAAATATATGGATTAAGAACAAAATGGGTTGTAATTTTTTTTCAAATTTTCAAAAGTTAAAACTTTTAAGCAACAGTTTGGTCTATTTTGGATTAGAAATAACAGTACCAGGTTCATCAGGTTCCAAATTGGCAGTTTTTCCCGCCCTCTTTGCCGCGGTCCTCACTTGCCCCGTCGTCTGCTGTGGAATGTTAGCGAGCCTCTGTAGCTGTGACAACGCACCTGAGCGCGAGATGCACGTGCTACGTGAAGTGACGGTCTGCACCACCGACCAGAGCTGGCGAGCTTTCCGCAAGCTTGACGTAGCCATGTTTCTATGTGGAATGGGAATGCTTGGCTGATCGTCCGGATCAAGTCAACAGCTGAGAGAGAGAGAAAAAAATTAGGATTTATTTTTAGTCTGTAAAAAATTGAGAGAAAATTTCCGAACACGCGCATTTAGCCTCACAGACGTGGGGTGTGTCCCCATGACAGGTATGATTAAGTGCTCATCTGGGTTGCGCTCACACGTGTAGAGATAGTCCAACTGACCCACTTAATGTAGGCAACTGGGCGACACGTAGGCCTACGTGATATCCGACACGCACAGATAATGTGTTAGTGGTAAAAATCCTCAAAATGAGACGAAAATGGGTGTCCAATTTCACTTGTGCAATATACAAAATAATTCATGCTTGCAGCACAGTGGGCCATTACTCTCTGCATTGTGTGTCTCCATGACCCCCCCCCCACTCCGCCCCCTCTTTTCAGATCGACACACTCGCAGTGGGCGGTCACCTGAGTCCACATTTAATAGGCCCCTACATAGTTACTAGGAGAAATGTTCTCAAATATATTAGCCCTCGAGTGGCAGTATTGTTCTAAACCTTTATATATTTTCTTTTTGGCATTTCAGTTTTAAACATACAGCAACACCATATTAATAAATGAGTACAGCTATTTTAACATAGCAATATATATTGACAGTGATATGATCTGTCAACCAGTCATCGTAAACCACACTCGAAAATTTAACCATACGGCAACAAAGCCCTCTCATGCACCCCTGTGTGGTGCATACAAGTATACATAATAAGCACTTCTTTAAAAACTATTAATAAGCACCACTTACCAACCTACTGATGCAGGGACTAGACAATTTTCACTACCACTCCGGCCAAAACACAGGCTGGGGAAACGCGGAAGTTTTCGACGGTCGATATGACGTTAATGTTTTTACCTCTGCGCGAGCAGCGTGTAGTTATCGAAGGTGACCTTGCCGGCAAATAACCACGGTTCTCTCTTCGCGTCTGTTATTCGTGTGTTTAAACTGTGAACTGATAGCGTTTGTTATGCCGCTAAAAAGACTCGCATGATGTAAACATTGGCATTAACGCATCGTAGTCAAGATGGAATTGAAAATGTTTGCACAAGGAAAAATTAAACTGTGATTGGTAATAATGGCTTGGGCACTTGTTATGTGAAAAAATAAAATGAAATGAAGTGAAATAAAATGAATTATGGCACTTTATACTAGAAGTACATTTATCGGGCCTATTATATGCACCATCAAGCTGTTTCTTTCTTTCTTTCTTCTTTTTTTTTCCTTTTTTTGTGAGGAATCATTTAATTGATGTCATTAATATTTTAGCAACACTGCCCAGGCTTTTATCTTAATTACAGGACAAATAAGCAGGTTGAATATTTCAGTGCAACATGAATGGGTTGACACCTGCCGAGCGTGGCAAAGATTACCGTAACCCCACAACCTGTAGGGAGATTAACCACGTTTATTTGGGTTTGAGGCTACTCTAAGGTGAAGGTCATTGTAAAGGGAAAGCATTGCGGAGATGTTAGGTAAGCAAAATCAGAATTTATGAAAGTTCTTCGTTGATCGAAGAAATCAGAGGCCTTTGCAAAAATCATAATTAAATTTTAGATGGCTTAAGGATATCTGGTGCCTCAATATAATGTCCAGACCACTTTAAAGCGTGGTGAAACGTAAATATATGTACCTAACTCTTTAGCACGAAAATCCATGCGTTAGCACTCCTGTTGACGATTCTGATATGTACTTTCTGTGCACAGAAAGTACATATCAGAATCGTCAACAGGAGTGCTAATGCATGGATTTTCGTGCTACTAACTCTTGAACAGCAACACGCAGTTTCATGCCTGCCACTGCAACTATGAGCATAAGTCTGTCCTATTTGCGGTTTCTGAGAATGATATACAGTACTGGTATATAAATATGTGCATATTAGTAATCATAAGTAGGATTGCTAATATAAGAAACTTGGTACTTAGAAACTTAAGGGTTTTCGTAGACTGCATATGGGGTAACACCTCTCTCTCTCTTTCTCTCTCTCTCTCTCATAATGGAACAACCGTTGAAAGTGTGGCAAAGCTCCAAATTTACTGTTCTTCATTGCAAGAGAGCTAGGTGTAGATACAACTTTGGTTATTACCACAGTACTGAGGTAGTGCACCACCTAACAGCCTAAGTTTTAGCACCATGAATTAGAAAAGAGGTTTGTCTGAACCAAAATGATTGCACTTTTGTCTTACTGAATTTCTGTTATTATTATTTTCAGTGATGAGATTTTGAGAGTTTTGGATTTGAAATCTGTGAAAAATGAAAAGAGGAAGAAAGCAACAAGAATTGGCTAATGGGTCACAGAGAGGTCACAATGAAAAGCAAACTACCAAAGCGGTCAACTCTCAGCCCGAAAGAGTCAAAAGAAGAAAAGTTGACAAGGTGACAGATGAAGGGGGCAAATTTCCTCAAGGAAATTCCAAAACCAAACAAAATAAAGGAGGGAGGAAAAGTAAATCTCAAAACCAAAAACAGCAAAGTGATAGCAATATGTCTGACAACAAACTAGATAAGGTATATAGCACTAAACTTGATATCAAGACATCAAAGTACTTCTTATCAGGCGATGAGGCGGGTGCCCCAGAGTTTCCTACCTCTCCACCAGGAGGTAGGACAAAGAAGACAACCCACAGGATGGACAGCCCTGATGTTGGCTTTGAACAAAGAAAGGAAAAATGGGCCAGCATTTCTACCATTGGGAAGGTCAGTGCAGCAGTCGAGAGATCAGAATCAACGGTCAAGGTGTTAAAGAGGACACATTCTGACTTGACCTTCCTTGCTAGTCATGGCATCCCTAAGAAGACGAAATTAGTTTCGAGCAAATCAGACACTTCTACTTTGGTGGAAAAGGTAGCAAGAAAGCCAAGAGCAGGAAGAGTCAGTCGAGGTCCATCAAGTACTTCTTCTTCCCAGCCTTATGCACCCATATGTGAATTACTCTCAGAAAAATTAAACCAGGAAGCACAGTTGATAAAATCTGAGAGATCAAATGATGGTGGGTCGGATTTGACTACAGATGTTTGCAATGATGTACCAAAGAAAACTAAATTAGTCTCAAGCAAATCAGACTCTGCCATTTTGAGAACAAAGAAGGTAGGGAAAAGTGGTGGAAAACCAAGGAAAGTAACAGTCAGTAGAGTTTTGGCAAGCAGTTCCACATCCCAGCCTTATCCACCCATATGTGAATTACTGTCTGAAAAATTGAATCAAGAAGCACGATTGATAAAAGCAGCTGCAAAAAGATCAGACAAAGCTGTTTCATCTGATGAATTGAAATCACAAATACTCAAAGATACAGGTATGCCAGTCGTCAAATTAAAGAAAATGTCTGAAAAACTAAAAGCCAAGAATCAAAAGAAGAAATCACCTTCAGTTGAAGGCAAAGAAAGGATGAAAGAGGAGAGGACTGAGAGCCATGCCAAGAGGACAAAAACTGACAGTAATGATAAAATTAAAAGGTCAAAAGCAGAGGATAATGACTCGTCAAAATTAAAAAAGACTCGGTCTACAAAACTGAAAGAAGAACACAAAACCAACATTACATCAACCAAAAAGAAAAAGACTTCAGACAAGAAAATTCAAAAGATGTCTGCCCCAAAACAGAGTAAGAAACAGAATTGTGAAGACCAAGAAGATGATAGTGATGGGTTTGAAGATGTAGGTGACAATGTCAGTGGTCATGATACAAACTATTCTGTGGATGTCACACCATTAGACTTATTATTGCAACATGAGACCGATGCCCCTGCTCTTAAAAAGGAGGACCCCATAGTAGAGGATAGTGACTCTGACTGGGAGGAAGTACAGGGTAAGAGAAGGATGGAGGGGAAGTGTCTCCTTTGAATAAGATGACACCTTTTTTTGAATTTAAATGACAATAATGATTTGCTTTTATATACTTATTTTAATTGTAAAATTGCACATCTAAATTCATATATATACGTGCATACATTTTTTTTGGCCCTGAAAGTGTCCCACTCAGTTTGAGTTATGTATGACTACAAATGTGCGATTGAGAAATCTGTTAACAGTTATGACCATCTTGTTCACCATGGAACCTTGTTTTTTTCTTTCTTTCAGATGTGCCAGGAAGCAGCAAGAAGCCAGAGAAGAGCCAGCTCCCATCAAAGCCCATACAGATCACTGTGGAGGCCCCAGACTTACTGGGGAAGAAAAAGTGAGGAGGTGTTGGAGGGAACAGATCTTGCATATTTAGGAAGAAAAAAAGAGCCAAAATTTCAGGATCAAATTAGAAAATGTGTAGAATTTGTCCAGGATGAATTTTTAAATGGGCCACAGGCAGGATTGCTTTTGATAATGTATAGTATGAAAATAAGTATTTAGTTTTATATATATCCCAGAAAGAATGTTTTTTTTATTCCAGAAAGAAGGGGTTTGACATGGAAGGATATGTGAGGAGGATGTTGAACAGACGTCAGAAGGAGATTAGGGAAAACATGCACAGGGTAAGACATAGGGAGTGGGAGAACATTGATATTTTTGTTTTTGCCTGCTGATGAATTTAGTTTTCAATTTGAAATTCCTGAAGCTTGCTGGTAAAATTCAACATTTCTATATTTGCTTTTTTTTAAAGTGGAAATTACACTCCAAATATGAAAAGATAATTTATTGAAAATACTGTGTAAATTAGTCAGTCTATGCCATGTAAAAATATATTATTATTATTATTATTATTATTATTATAATCTCCCAGGTTCACCTCCTGTGTCTTCTGGCTAGTGGACTCCAGAGAAGTCATCTGTGTAACAGCCCCCTCCTCCACTCCCAGGCCCTGTCCCTGATCCCCAGGGGATTCCTGACCACCAAGCCAGAGAGCTATGACAGCTCCTCCATACTGAAGTTAGTGGGGTGGTGCAGTGACAAGTTTCAGATTGTTCCAGGACTCGATGAAATTGACACGGGTTTGAAGGTGAGTGAGTGCCTTGTTACTCAGACGTGCTGAAACTGCCCTTCTTGCCAGTTAATGGGACATATTATAATTTTAAGAGCTGACATTTTGAATCCACATTAGTTAGGCAAGCAAAAAAAAAAACAATAATAATGAAAATAAATAATAATCAATCTGATAGAAGATTTCATAATTAACCCCTTGTAATTGCTTGTAAGAGTTAAAGGTTAATAGAAAGGGATATAATTATAACTCTTTTATTATCTCTGACCTCTCCAGGAAGATGTTCTAGTCAGCAGGTTCGAGAGTAGTTCTGTAGCCTCGGAGCAGGAGCTTGTGCATGTAAGTACATTTTAAAACCACAGCATATCTCCTAAACATGACATCTACTCATAGCTAGGTTTATAAGTGATAGGGGGTAAGTGATGGCTACCCTCCCTTCTCCAAGACCTTATGGCCCCAAATTCTGCTCCCAGAAGAAGAGAGAATAATTGTTTTTAAGTAAACCTAATTAGTCTCATGTCCTTATTTAATTTCAGTTAATATTATATTATATTTATTGTCCTTGCAAATTACCAGAAGTCTTTTGATGAATACCATTAGTAGTAAATGCCAAAATACCGGTTAAAGTAAATGTCTGATTTTGTATTTTCAGATAGTGGTTATAGTTTTGAGGACTTTGGGTTTAGATGCAAGACTGGTGTTATCATTTCAACCTATTTCCCTCAAGCCTCCTGGAAAAGTAAGTTCACCCTAGTAGATTCCTTTGATGAAATACTTCTTATTCTTTTGATTTACATGTATTATATGTGAGGTTTGACTCAGATATCACTACATTGTACATGTTCAAAACATATTGAGTAGTTTTAAAGGTCCACTTCATGTTGTCTTCTTCACTAAAGTAGCAAAACCTTTGCATTAATGCATAATGAAATGAAATCTGTATGTTTTCTTTCAAAGGTGTCCAAGGTAACATTAAAGGAAACAAGTCCTG